GAAATGTTAAAGGGGACTCTGAATGAAAAGAAACACCATAAGCAGGAGTAAGAAAAGTAGGAAGCACAGAAGCCATAAAATTAAGTATATCTACAAAAATCAACCAAAGGATTCACAAAATAAAAGGATGCAAAGTATGACACCATATCCTAATATGTAGGGGGGAAGAGGGGGAAAAAATAGTGTTTTTGGAATTGGCTCAAACTTTAGTGAATACCAAGATAATATAGCCTGCTATATGCACCGATGTCATATACTAACCTAATGGTAGCAACAAATCAAAAACCAGTAATAGATACGCAAAAAAAAAGAAAGGAATCCAACTATATCACTAGAGAAAGCCAACAAACCATGAGAGAAGAGAGTAAAAGAACAGAAGAACCACAAAAACTATCATAAACAAGTAACAAAATGGCAATACATACATACAATAATTACTTTGAATGTAAATGGACTAAATGCTCCAATCAAAAGGCATAGGGTCATAGAATGGATTAAAAAAGCGAGATTGAACCCCATGTTGAGTGTAGAAACTACTTAAATAAATAGAAGTAACTTACTTTTTAAAAGGCCTACCTATATGCTGTCTATAAGAGACTCATTTCAGACCTAAACATACCTACAGTTTGAAAGTAAAAGGTTTGGAAAACATTTATCAAGCAAATGGAAGTGAAAAGAAAGCCAGGTTAGGGCAGCCCCAGTGGCGCAGCGGTTTAGCGCCGCCTGCAGCCCAGGGTGTGATCCTGGAGACCTGGGATGGAGTCCCACGTCGGGCTTCCTGCATGGAGCCTGCTTCTCCCTCTGCCTGTGTCTCTGCCTCTCTCTTGCTCTCTCTGAATAAATAAATAAATAAATCTTAAAAAAAAAAAGCCAGGTTAGTAATACTTCTATCAGACAAAATAGACTTTAAAACAAAGACTATAACAAGAAACAAGGACACCACATAAAGGGAACAATCCAACAATAAGATGTAACAATTGTAAATATTTGTACACCCAACATGAAAGCATCCAAAGACATAAAGCTGCTGATAATAAATATAAAAAAGGTCATTAATAGTAATACAATAATAGTAAGGAACTTTAACACCCCATTTACATCGATGGATAGATCTTCCAAACAGAAAATCAACAAGGAGTCAGTGGCTTCGAATGATGCATTGGACTAGATGGAGCTAAGAGAGAGATTCAGAACATCACATCCTAAAACAGTGGAATACACATTCTTTTCAACTGCATGTGGAACAATCTCCAGAAGAGATCACATGCTGGTCCACAAAACAAGTCCCGACAAATTCAAAACATGAAAAGTCATGCATCCTTTCCAACTACACCACCATGAAACTAGAAAACAAGCACAAGCAAAATCTGGAAAGAAATACATACATGGAGGTTAAATAACATGCTACTAAACAATGAATGGGTCAACCAAGAAATCAAAGAGGAAATAAAAAAATACATGGAGGGACACCTCGGTGGCTCAGTGGTTGAGTGTCTGCCTTTGGCTCAGGGCTTGATCCTAGAGTCCCGGAATCGAGTTCCACATCGGGCTCCCTGCTTGCAGCCTGCTTCTCCCTCTGCCTGTGTCTCTGCTTCTGTGTGCATGTGTGTGTGTGTGTCATGAATAAATAAAATCCTTAAAAAAAATACATGGAGACAAATGAAAATGAAAATACTGGTCCAAAATCTTTGAGATGCAGCAAAAAGAGGTTTTAAGAGGGTATTTTACTCTGTAGTTAAGAATCTATTTCTTGGTTTGGCTCTCTCTCTTTTTTCCCCCTTTGCTATTTTGCTGATGGTTACCAGAAGGGAGGTGGGTCGGGGGACAGCTTATATTTCAGGAGTGCACTTATTGTGGTGAGCACCTTGTGTTGTATGGAAGTATTGAGTTACTATATTGTACACCTAAAACTAATATCACGCTGTATGTTAACTATTTTAAATAAAAACTTTTTTAAAAAAAGAGGGATGTTTATAGCAATACGGGCCTACTTTAAGAAGCAAGAAAAAATCTCCAACAACCTGACCTTCCATCTAATAGAGAAAAAGAATGAAACCAAAACCAATAGAAGGAGACAAATAATAAAGATTAGAGCAGAAACAAACGAAATAGAAACTGGAGAAAAAAAAAAAAGAAAAAGAACAGGTCAATGAAAACAGGAGCCACTTCTTCGAAAAGATCAACAAAATTGATAAACCTTTAGCCACACTGATCAAAAAGAAGAGAGAAAGAGGACCCCGACAAAACCAGAAACGAAAGAGGAGAAATCATAAACAGCGCCACAAGGAAAAATGCAAAGAAAGATTTAGGAAGTAACATGCTTGCCCAGGACGGGACACACGTTCAGAAAAGACATGTGAGGACCCTAAGCTTCCGCCACCTACCTGAGCACACCCTAGAGGGGTCCTAAGAGATTTTGAGGAGGACCACTGGACTGGTTGCTAAACACCTGCTTTCCTCAGGCTCCACCACTAGTGTGATACTCCTGTAGGAGACTTGCTCTGTTGTTCTTTCTAGACATAAATATTCCTTGACCAGGTAACACATTCCATGAATTCACACTAAGGAAACTCCCTAGGCTAAGTAGATCTGCTTTCCCCTAAAGAATGACTTAAGAGCTCCAGATTTTTGGTTCCTGCAACAGACAACGTGCAGAATGGAGGTCAGACACTCGAATTTCTCCTCCTCCCCAGCTGTGCTGGAGGCTGACTCAGACTCTGGTCGCGGGCATCCGTATGCTGCCCTGAATAACCACGGTGTCTTTTCTGGCTGGTTTCTTAGCTTCGAGGCGTGCCTAATGTTGAAGCTGCACTTGCAGATGGCAGAGGCCCTGCAGTCCCACAGCCATCCTCCTGCCTTCCGGTCCACGAGCTCACAAGACACCCAGAAGACCCCTGCAGAAACCTGCGGATAGCTTCTTTGCCTCAGTGATTTTAGAACCTGTTCTTACTTCCCTGTTTTTGCTGTAAATAATTCACCATTTTTATAAGCGAGATAAGGTCAGGCCCTTGTGAGCCAGGAGAGATTTGAGAGATGATGAAATCTACGTATTTTGCACACAACGCAAGGACTTCTGGCACACTGCCCCACTTGAACTGGGATCCTGCTTTCCTATTCTCCCCTAGACACAGAAACGCCTATCTTTCCAAAAAGGCCAATTTTTTCAGGACTTTTTTTTTTTTTAGAGTAGTTATAGGTTCACAGAAAAATTGAGAGGAAGGTACAGATATTCTGCATATGCTCTAACCCTGCACATGCTTAGCCTCATAGCCTGCCCGTTATCAACACTCCCCACCGGAATGGTACATTAGTTGCAACCAATGAACCGACCCTGCTATATCATCATCACTCAAAGTCTAGAGTTTACATTAGAGTTCACTCTTGGTGGTGTCCATTCTAGGTTTGGATAAATGACATGTTTAGTGACATGTGTCCGCTGTTACAGTATCATCCAAGAATGTTTACTCTGCCTTAAAAATCCTCGGTGCCCCCAGAAAGACCCTTTTTAATCTTGGAAACATAGGTTTTCTGGAGTGAGTCAGTCTTCTCACCCCCCGCTGTGGTCATGGCCTACTGGTCATAGCTACACAGGGTCCTAGAGGTGCCACCAGGCCCAGAATATAGCCCTCAGGGCCCCCTAGACAGGTTGCTTTCACTGGGACCCCAAGCCAGTGCTTCACCTCTTCTAGGTCCTCCCTGTCCAAGGCCCAAGTCAACCTCACAACCAGTGAGATTCATAATCCAATGCTCCCCAGTGCTAGCAGAATCCCCTATGGACAGACGGAAGCCGGCCTGAAAGAAAGGAGTCCCATCACCATGGGTGCCAGTCACCACCCCTGGCCAAGCTGACCAACAGTGCAGCGTGTGCACCATCTTATTTCTGCATTTGGCTGAGGAGAGCAAGGTGAGCAACCCCTTGATAAATGCTGACCCTAGACTCCCATCCTCTTCAAACATCTGGGAGGGGAAAACTGAGAGGAACAGAAGAGATCAGTTTAACTAAAAAGCAAAAACAAAAACAAAACCAAGAAAACCATACTTATTCTTACTTTTCTTATCAGGAGGGCTTGATGAAAATATCCAATTCAAGTTAAAAACAATTTAAATCAGAACCAAGTATAAGGAAGTCCGAATTTTCCCAAGAAGGCCTTGGTAATTGTTTGGAAATCCCTGGTTCTTACTCCTGCCATCTAACCCATCAGGTTCCCTTGCCCCTCCTCTTCCTCCTTCTCCTTCTCCTCCTCCTCCTCCTCCTCCTCCTCCTCCTTCTCCTCCTCCTCCTCCTTCTCCTCCTCCCCCTCTTCCTCCCCCCATGACCCAGCTTTACTGTCGTAGGAAGCAGGTGCCAAGTCTGCTCCCCACAACTGCCATAAAGCATCTTTTAAAACAAAGCAAGTAGAACATATCCTGTGAAACCCACTGCTTTTGGCTTTTGTCTGTTCTTTTTCCTTGAGAGCTAGAACAGCCATCAAGACCCACCGACCAGGGAACACAAAGGGTCATGCTGAGGAGCTGCTGGAGGAGGACAGAGCCTTTGGCCCATCCTCTGGCTCCTGCTCAGCCATCAGCCCTAAGGCTAAAGCTGCAGGTCCCACGCCCCTGCCCCTGCCATGGGCTCAGCCCCCTCATCCCTCTCTCCAGGTGAGGCCCTCTCTTACATAATAAACACACTGGCCCTCTCTCATCACCCAGGCAAGTAGCACTGTCCAGAAAGGTGGCTTAGACAAAGGAAGAAATACTAGGAGATCTAGGTTTGAATCAACTTTGCCCCAGGGGCCACAGCCCAGAGACCATCAGGTGCAGGGATTCACACAGAACCAGTTAGACAAAGCAACACTCCTCCCCTTCTCCTGTGTTTTACAGTGAAGACTTGCGTGAGAAAAAAGCAGGTGCATGTAATGAGAGTAAATACGGTAATGGGTTCATTTGCAAGTTGGAGCTCTGGACTTGGGACTTAGGAGTGCCAGGAGGGGCCCACTCAGAGCCTAGTCTGACCCGGACTGAAGTGTAGGTGAGAGACAAGGTTGGCTCACCTCCTGGGAACTAGGCTACGACTAGGAAAGAGGAAGCACGGCCTTAACTCCAACGGGAGCCACGGCCTCTGCCCCGCAAAGTGCTACTGAGAAAAGCAAAAGATTAAGGTAATGCTCCAGTCTTCACCAAGGCCACGACTTCAGAGGTACTGAGGTTTTGGTTGATCCTTTGTTCCTGGTTATTGAAAGCAGACCCCAAAGGAGAAGTCACAGCAAAGAAGTTGCCACAAAGCAGGTATGGATTTTCTTTCTTTCTTTCTCCTTTGCTGGGGGCAGAGTGCCTCCCCAGCACCCTGCAAAAAAAAAAAAAAAAAAAAGTATGGGAACACAAATATATCTTAACATTTGAGGCCAGCATCATATAGAGGGTTGTGTATCATGTTGGCCTTACTGCTGTTCGCATTTCCAGGATGGAAAAAACCATGAAGATAAATCACTGCGTTTTGAGTTCCATTACCCATGCTCCCTGGTCATGCAATTGGCCTCCTAGAGAAATAATCACAATGGAAATCTCAATTTTACATCAGCTATGATGTGTCCTACATACAATCAGCCCCCTCTCTGTTGCAGAGTTGGAGTCTCCTGATCCAGAATATACCAAGGTGTGGGACTGTGGGGGCTGGGACAACTCAGGCCCAGTTCCTCTCAGCTGCTTAGTGTTGGCAGCCCTTGGGACCAGGGCTCAGACACAGCAGCATGACAGTCACAGGGCCTGATCACCTCCGTAAGGGGTCCCCAGAGGTTCCTCCAACCCCTGCCCAGCCCTGGGGCTGAGTTGGCTTTGGCCCAGTAAGTTTCCTACCTTTACTTGCACCCAGGGTAGGCACCCAGTCCCCCAGAACAAAACCTCTCCTATATGTGCTCAGTGCCACCAAGACATGCCCCCCTTCTCCACACATCATAGCCCAGTTTGGCTCAGGCTATGGCCAGTGGCTTGGTTTTAAGGCAACACATATCTGGGGATGGTCAAGAGTTACCTTTGAGGCCATTGAACCTTGATTCAGTGAGTCAGCTGCAATAGGCATGCTCCTCCCACATGGGAGGGCTGTGTGACCCTGCTGCTGGGAAGGTCAATGATGGCCCAAGATGGCCAAGGTGACTGGATTATTTCCACTGTGATGGGTGTTTGATCCCTAATGATATGGCCAGAGTCAAGAATATTCTAAGCAGGGCCCCAGAGGCTATTATTTATTTAATTAGTTGGTTAATAGGAAAGATTAATTTTTCCAAATACTTATTTTTTAAGTATACTTTTCAATGTACTTTTAAAAATATCATGGGGATGCCTGGGTGGCTCAGCATTTGAGTGCCTGCCTTTGGCCCAGGGTGTGATCCTGGAGTCCCGGGATCGAGTCCCATGTCGGGCTCCCTGCATGGAGCCTGCTAATTCCCTGTGCCTGTGTCTCTGCCTCTCTCTCTCTCTCTCTCTCTCTCTCTCTCTCTCCCCTCCCCCTGTGTCTCTCATGAGTAAATAAATAAAATATTTTTTAAAAAACTAAAAATAATAAAAATAAATATCTTTACTTATATAATAAACTTAGTCTAAACCAGGGATTGGCAAACTATGGCACTCAAGCCAAATCTGAACCACTAGCTGTTTTTATAAACAATGTTTTTTAGAACATGGCACAGCCATGCACATTAATATCATCATTAATATCATCTACAGCTGCATTTACCCTCGGACAGCAAAATTGAGTAGTTGCAAAAGAGACAATATTGCCCCCAAAGCCTAAAATATTAACTATCTGTCCCTTTACAGAAAAAGTTTGCCAACTCCTAGTCTCAAGCTATCAATTTGTTCTTCAGTTATTATGGAGTGAACATAATAAACAACCATAAAAGTGACTAAACTATTATTAGTAGGTAATAGCTTTTTAAAATATGAATGTAACAAGTGATTACATGCTCTTTGTAAAATGATGAATCAGAAAGTTAAAAACAGAACTACCTTACAACCCAGCAATTGCACTACTAGGTATTTACCCAAAGGATACAAAGATACTGATTTGAAGGGACACATGCACCCCGATGTTTATTGCAGTATTATCAATAATAGTCAAATTATGGAAAGAGCCCAGATGTCCATTGACTGTTGAATGGATAAAGAAGATGTTGTATTTTTATCTATCTATCTATCATCTATCTATCTATCTATCTATCTATCATCTATCTATCATCTATCATCTATCTATCTCTATCTATCATCTATAATGGAATATTATTTGGCCATCAAAAGAATGAAATCTCGCCATTTGCAATGACATGGATGGAGCTAGAGGGTATTATGCTAAGCAAAGTCAGAGACAAATACCATATGATTTCACTCATATGTGGAATTTAAGAAACAAAACAGATGAACATATGGGAAGTAGAGAGAGAGAGAGAGAGAGAAGAGATATGCAAACCATAAAACAGACCCTTAACTATAGAGAACAAACTGAAGGTTGATGGAGGGGAGGTGGGTGGCAGATGGGGTGGATGGATGATGAGGATTAAGGAGGGCAGTTGTGATGAGTGCTGGGTGTTGTATGGAAGTGACAAATTGCTCAATGCTACTCCTAAAGCCAATATTACACTATATGTTACCTAACTAGAATTTAAATAAAAACCTGAAACAATAAATAAATACAAGTAAAATGATGAATCAGCATAGATAAAGCTAAATTCCCCTTAAGTCATCCTGCCAATGCTAATCCCTCGTACCCCCAAAAGTAACTGCTATACCCAGTTTGGTATATTTATTGCCAGTCTCCTTTGCAAGCACCTATACATATATATACTAATAAACTATGTGTTGTCATCTTATTCTGTTTTTCTACTCAACAAACATTCCGTATCTGTATTCCATATGGAGACTTTCCATATCCATATATAGCTCTACCTCATTAATTTTATACATATTATACATAGAATATGTGCATTTTATTTTGTTTTTGCCAAAGGTTTATGTATTTATTTTAGAGGGGTGGGGAGGGGCAGAAGAGGGAGAGAGACAATCTCAAGCAGACTTCTTGCTGAGCACAGACCCAGATGTGGGGCTGGATCTCAATGACCCTGAGATCATGACCTGAGCTGAAATGGAGTCGGCCACCTAACCAGCTGAGCTACCCAGGCGCCCCAGAATATGTACATTTTAATTCTTGATACTGTCAAATTGCCCAGTTTATACTCCTCCCCCCAACCCCAGCAGAGAATAATAGTTACTGCTCCTCCACACCTTGATGCTTGCTATTTATTAAGCATTTATTACTTTCCAATTGGATGAGTGAAAATAGTAACCCAGTTTTCCGAATATGTAAATGTCCCGGATTACTAATGTGTTAGTGTGCCAGGCCTGCCATAACAGAACACCACACACCGGACGGCTTACACAACAAACATCATATTCTCGCAGTACCAGGAGCTAGAAGTCCAAGATCAAGGAGTCAGCAAAGTTTTGTTTCTTCTGAGGTCTTTTTTTTTTTTTTAAAGATTTTATTTATTTACTCATGAGAGACAGAGAGAGAGGCACAGACATAGGCAGGGGGAGAAACCCACTCCCTGCACGCCCTGAGCCAAAGGCAGATGCTCAACCCCTGAGGCACCCAGGTGCCCCTCTTCTGAGGTTCTGCTGTGCCCTTGCATGGCTCTTTCTCTGTATGAGCACATCCCTGGTATCTTGCTTTGTGTCCAAATTTCTTCTTCTTACATGGACATCAGTCATATTGCAATAGAGCCCACCATAATGATGCCATTTGAATTTAATTACCTCTTTAGGGGATCCCTGGGTGGCTCAGCGGTTTGGCGCCTGCCTTTGGCCCAGGGCGCGATCCAGGAGTCATGGGATCGAGTCCTGCGTCAGGCTCCGGCCATGGAGCTTGATTCTCCCTCTTCCTGTGTCTCTGCCTCTCTCTCTCTATGTCTATTATAAATAAATAAATAAATCTTTAAAAAAATTACGTCTTTAAAGGTGTATTTGGAGATATAGTCACATTCTAAGATTCTGGGGGGCACACATCAACCCAGAACAACCTATGTGGTTGGGCATCTTTGTATATAATTCTTGGCCATTGTATTTCCTCTTAATTGCTTAGTCATATCCTTAGTTCATTTTATATGGGGTTATCTTCTACTCATTTGTAGGAGTCTAATATTTATTCTTGATACTAATCGTTTGATATATAATAAATATTCCCACTAAATCTGTGACTTGTTTTTTAACTTTGTTTACATGATTTTAGTCAACGGAAGTATTTACTATGATTGTTATTGCTATTATTATTATTTTGATTTAGTTTAATTTATTAATTTTCTCCTTTATGGATTTTGTTCTTTCAGTGTTATTTAAGGAGGCCTCCTCAACCTCCCAAGATTATGATGATAATAAAATGTTAGCACACTTTCTTTTAATACCTTTATCACCTAAAAAAATAGGCTTTTAGTCCTTTATTCCAAATTTTTTTAAAAATTTTTTTAAATTTTTTTATTTATTTATGATAGTCACAGAGAGAGAGGGAGAGGCAGAGACACAGGCAGAGGGAGAAGCAGGCTCCATGCACCCGGAGCCCGATGTGGGATTCGATCCCGGGTCTCCAGGATCGCGCCCTGGGCCAAAGGCAGGTGCCAAACCGCTGCGCCACCCAGGGATCCCCTTTATTCCAAATTAAGTCTGCCCTTTGCCTATTTATTTGAATATTGCCTCTATCGTGTACTAAATTCTCATTTTTACATGTCTGCTGCTGGATACTCTTTTTAAAATGTATTTCCTATTCTATTATAGAAAATATTATAGAGCCAATTTCTATTATAGCTTTACTATTTTTAATTGATTTTTTAATGATATATACAACATCTATTTTGTGCTAGTTTGGTCTTTTTTTTTTTAAAGGTTTATTTATTTTAGAGAGAGGTGAGGGGGAAAGGAAGGGGCAGAGGGAGAGGGAATCTTTTTTTTTTTTTTAGGGAGAGGGAATCTTAAGCAGACTCTGCACTGAACATGACACTCAATCATGCACTCAGTCGCACGACCCTGAGATCATGACCTGAGCCAAAACCAAAAGTTGGACACAACCAACTGAGCCATCCAGCCACCCCAAAAATCTATTTTGTGTTTTGATATTTTGTCTGGTCACCTTACTGAATTCTCTTAATACTTATAAAACTTTATCAGTTGATTCCGTTGCAATTTTTTGGTAGACAACCATATTATATATGTAAAACAAGTTTTGTTCCTTCCTCATCTTTACACATTCT